GGGGAGGGAGGCACATAGGGGTCTGGGGCACGCTGCCCTGCCTGGCAGGCCCTGGCCTCAGCTCCTTTCCTGCCTGAGGCCCAAACCTGGCTTCATCCCAGGAGACCTTGGAGGGAAAAGCTGTCAGAGCCAGTTCCACCACCTTGGGGCTAATCTTCCTCTTCCTCCCCCTCCTTCTCCCTCACTCCCCACCTCGATTTGTACCCCAGAGAAAGGGGCTCCCCTCACTCAAAGGCCAGCCCTGATCCTGCCACTGCAGGCTCTAGGTCCCCAACTCACAGGGGTATGTAGGCAAGCCCTTCACCACTCACCGATCTCCCGGGCCTAGCCCTCCTCCTCAGGCAGCCATTGAGGTTCTGCTTTTTCACTGACATCAGATGCCTTACACTCACCTGAGCCTGAAAGCCTTCACAAAAGTAACACCCTCTTTTTGTGGTTGGGGATAAACCAAATGATCCTGGGGCTCAGTGCAAGGTCTGACTGCTCCTTTGTGGCAGAGGCAAACTGAGATGTGGGAGGGGATGGAGAGGCCCCTCTGTGAATGTAGGAGACAACCTCCCCTGCGCTGGCATCTCTCGAACAGGGGGCTGGACCATAAATCAGATAAGCAGTGAGGGACACTAGGCTCTGGGGCAAGAGGGTGAAAAACACCTGCCCCTCCTCCCTTCTTGGCACAGGGAGACAAGGGATGGAGATGACTGGTAGGGCCACTAGTCTTGTGCGGGGCTGTGGATAAAGTGCCCCATCTGGCTCCTCCCTTGCTATTCCTGGAAGCCAGAGGTGAGTCTAAGAAGTTTTCTCCCCATGGCACCCATTCTACCACCATCACCCATTTGAGGTGGGCCACCCCAGCCCTACTTGCCTCCAGTTAAGCTTCCTAGTCTACAGGGGGCTGGCTGGTGTGCATCACCTACAGTGGGGGCTGGGGCAGGAACGGAAGAACCTATCCACTGCAATGAAGCAACTGAACCCAGAAGTAACCCAGGAGAAAACAGGTGTAACCACGTGAAGGGCTGAAAATCAGAGAGTAGCTGGGACAGGAAATGGAGACCTTGAGTGGTGTGTGCCTGTCAGACCCAAGAAATGCAAACAAAGTCACCCAGGAACAAGCTAGGGACGAAACTGGTGTAACCAAGGAGTAAACTGACCGAGGAGTAACCCAGGCAGGGGAAGTGGCCTACCCAGAGAACCCACAAACTAACTCAGAGGCTGTTAGAGGCTGGGGAGTAACTCGGTGTTTTGGCACAGAAGATGACAGCATATGTCTGGGTGACTGACAGAGTCTGGGAGCCACTCAGCACAAGGGGAGCAACTTTAGCGACATCCTGTCCTCTGTGCCCAGGGCCCAGCTGCCTTCCACAGCCTCGTATCTTCAGGATCCTTCTTTCTTCCATTTCTGCTGTTTGCACCCTGTGTGCCTTCCGCCCTCTGCCCCCACCCGTGGAAAACTGTCCTTGCATCGGGGAACTTTTGGACTTTCTGAAGCTTAATTATTCATTAGGGGCCAGATGTCCAGGACCCAAATAATCTAATAAGGGTCCATTTGCCAATGCCTCCACTGCCTCCCAGAGCTGGGCCTCTGGGAACTGGGGAAAGAGAGCCAGAAGACGCTGGAGGTCTCAGACTGCAGGGGTGACTGCTGCCCCCAGCCTGTGGGTTGGGGCACTGGTGAGAGGGTAAAGGATCAGAGCCGTCAGTGGGAGTAACAGGTGGCACTCTGGCAAGTCAGAGCTGTCACAGACGGGGTTAGAGCTGTGGGGGAAGAGCACTCAGGAAGGGGTCATGGTGGGGAGCACAGCTGGGAGAGGGGTCGGGCTGTCTCGAAAAGCAGCCCCTCCCGTGAACAGAGGGGTCAGGGAGCGCGGGGGCTGGAGAGAGAAGGGCTTCTCCGGGCCCCTCCACTCACCACGAGGATGAGGGTCCCCAGGCACTCAGCCAGAGCCTGGCGAAGCAGCCGGTAGCGGATGTGGAGCATCTCCCCGCAGCGGGACACCAGCTCCTTCTGTCGACCCATGGCGGGAGTGGCGGCGGTGCGGGCGGCGGCGGTGAGCGCGGCTGGAGGACGGCCGGGCGGTGGCTGTGGCCCCGAGCGCCGGGTGGCGCCCTTTATAGGAGCCGAAGGCTCTCGCCACGCCCTCCCGGCAGCCCCTCCCGGCGGCCCCTCCCGCTGAGCCCTGAGACCGCCCGAGGTGTGGGCGGCCGCCCCCAGGGGCTTGCCTGGGGAGCCCGGTGAGGACGCGGGGCTGCGGGAAGCTGGGGAGGAAGGTGGGGGGCGGGGAGGAGCTTTAGGGGTGGGGTTCGCGTGGAGAGGGCACTTAGGGGAGGAGGTGTGTTACGGGCTGAGAGGGGATTGCGGGGTTCTGAGAGCCAAAGGTCGGGTACAGGCATGTGTGGGACATGGCTGGGGAGGATGAAGCTGCCAGTGGAGACCTCCTTGCCCCACTCACAGTGAGCCCTGCTCACCCCCACGTGATGGTGGGGGTGAGAGAGACTTGTCAGAAAGGAAGGGAACTGGCCCCATCCAGCTCTACAGTATGGCTGGACCCGTTATGTCCTCAGAGAGGGGGCTGGAGGGAGGAGGCTGTGGGCCCCAAGGGAGAAGAGACCGTCTCATAGTCCAGACCTGCGTGGACTCACAGAACACAGGCGGAGTTCCAGCCAGAGTTCATGGGCCTGTTGTTCCTTGTGCTGAATATGTATCACATGTTGCATGTCCTGATCGGCTCTGTCCATGGCTATGTCCACACATGACATCTGTCCTGTGTACCAGATTGCACCTTCTGGACATTTCTCATGGCTGTGTACATGTCTGTTGAACCTGGCTAGGTTAACTGAATTTGCCACACGTGTATCTGCGCGTGTTTTGCACGTGGCTCCAGAGGGTGAGCTGCAGTTGTCCTGACATGCCACATGCCACATGCTTGCCAGCAGGGTGAGTCCTACCTAGTTGTTTTTAACTCTCTCTTCTCCCACTCTGGCTGATCCCAGCCAGGGGAGAGTCTGACCCTTTAAGAGGTTAAGCTGGCTAAACTGTGAGAGTGGTCAGCCCCATCTGAGGTGGGACGTGGGGCAACTTTGCTCCTCATATTGCATTTATTTTTTAATTTTTATTTTATTTTAGTATTTTATTTTATAAATTTTTTTTTTCAACGTTTATTTATTTTTGGGACAGAGAGAGACAGAGCATGAACGGGGGAGGGTCAGAGAGAGAGGGAGACACAGAATCGGAAACAGTCTCCAGGCTCTGAGCCATCAGCCCAGAGCCCGACGCGGGGCTCGAACTCACGGACCGCGAGATCGTGACCCGGCTGAAGTCGGACGCTTAACCGACTGCGCCACCCAGGCGCCCCAGTATTTTATTTTATAAATAAAATCCCAAGCAGTCTCTGTCGTACTGTCAGCACATGGAGCCTGAAGCGGGGCTCAATCCCACCAACCTTGAGACCATGACCTGAGCCAAAATCAAGAGTCGGACGCTTAACTGACTGAGCCATCCAGGCGCCCCAAAAAAATTATTTAAAAAAATTAATAATTGGGAAACTGAGGAGTGGAGCCTGGACCCTACCTCCACAGAACTGGGAGCAAATATGACTGCACTCCAGTTGCTATGGCAGCATTGCCTGGGGAGACCACATTTTCCAGAGGCACTTAATCCAGGTGGTCTAAGGGCCTTGGGGACTTATCCCTTGAGGAATGGCTGTCAGGAATAAGGGCTCCATTGCCCAAAGGCTCTTAGGCCCAAAGAGATGGGATTTAGCAACACACATCGGGTAAATTTACACACTCTTGCACATGCACACGCACACTCTGAGACTGGCAGCCATGCTTCCCTATAAACCCTCAGCTCTGTTCACATGCTCATGGGATCCCCTTCACATGGGAAACTAGCCATGGGCTCAAACATGTATGTAACCCACATGTGAGGTCTCCCATCGCCCTTGGCCCAGGAAGGAGCACCCCACTCCTCCAGCCCCAACGGGTTGGGAGGCACCATGGTGAATCAGGAGGCCATCACCAAGTGCCTACCCATGGCACCACTGCCAGTCTGTGACTCAAGACAGAGCACTAGACTCCTGGTGCCAGAGCCCAGACTGTGGAAATGGGGAAACTCCCTTAACCATTCTACTTTTTCTTCTCCCTGCCATATGATGTGCTTCTCAGCCTCTCAGTGCCTCAGATGGGGCTCCAAAGGCAGCACGGGGCAGGAATTGGCAAGGAGCTCTCCTCAACACTGAAAGAACATAGGAACCCCAGCCCATAGCACCTTGTCCTCACTGTGCCCCATCCTGGGGCTGCCAGAAGGACAAGCCTGGCCTGGAAACCAGAGCACAGGAGAAAAACAGGGGAACTCTGCCACCAGCAGGCATATATGCAAGGCCCTTAGACACACATGCATTTGCACTCAGCTTACATAGGTATTCACATGTGCTGCACCATATGCTCCTACACAAAACTCACTCATATCTATAATTAATGTGTGGACATACATGTTCATACATGTACCTACACATGCACAATGAGATGGATTTGGGTTGAAGCAGAGAAGGTATGATACAGGTAGAGCTTCATGTTTCTTAGTGGGCGTGAAAGAGGGGGAAGGATACAGTGCCTTCCAAGGGTCCTTTATTCCTGCCAGCCCTCATTTGGGACTAAAAGGGGTCTGGACCTGGGGAGTTTGTGCAGAATTGCCAGGCTGGCCTGAGTTGGGGGGGCAGAAGCAGGACCTCACTGTCTCTTCTCATTGTAGTCAATGTCAACGGCGCCCCCTGGAGCCAGAGACAGAAAGAAGTATGGCTTCAGAGAGAAGTGATTGCACTTGGTAAGGCCAACTCTGAGTCACAGAGCTTACCTATAGCCCTCTGGGCTCCCTCCTGTGCTTTGGGAAGGAAAACTAGGGCCAAGTGCAAGTGCAAGCTAGAAGCCAGCCCACCTGGGAGCTCTGGGAGGATGCAGATGAGGAGGCACCACCTCGTCCCAGGGCATCTTGAGCAAGGTCTGTCTCACCTGGGCGGAGGGCTGAACCCAGGAAGGGGCCTTGACAGCCCATCCACCCGTGGGAGGCTGTGATTCCTTGAGGTCAGAGCTGGGGGAGTGGGTTCCCAGACAAGGGAAGGGCTAAAGATGCAAGTCCCAGCCTGCTGGACCAGAGGGGCTGGCTGGGGCCCTGTAAGAGGAGGTGGTGGCACACCCTTCATTTTCTGCCCCCCAAACTCTTTTTGTTTGAATAGGAGCAGCGTGAACCATCAGAAGACACATGGGCCTTGCTGTTAGCAAGTGGGGTGGAAAAAAGTGTAGACATTAGAAAACAAATCATGCTATAGTCTCCCCAGCCTCTTCAAACCCCCTAAATCTCTTCCAGAGCTTTGGAACAGGGTGGGGGAGGGGCAGGCCAAAGCAGATATACAGACATTTTCAAGTTTAGAGATCACTTCCTCCCATTTGCAAAACAACTCCCAAAAGTGGGTGTATTTTTCCCCTTTCACAGATGACAAAACTGAGGTTTAGAAAGAAGTCACCTGCTGAGGTCTCAGCCAAGCATTGAGCTGGGATTCAAACCTCATGAGGATAAGAAGGTGAGGTGAAGAAGAGGGGTGGAGAGGCCAGGGAGCCTCAGGTCCAAGGCACAGGAGGAGCAGGGAGCCAGAACACAGGAATCCACTGAGTCTCTCCATACCACCTGAGCCCCTTTTCTAGAATGCACCCCACTCTTAGGCCAATGCTGGACACTATTCCTGCTCCTAGGCCTCAAGAGTTGGGGGCTGGCTCTGGACTGGAATTGGGAGTGGAGAGTGGAGATGAATCATCCTATTATGAGCGTCCCCAGACTGGGGGGCGGGCAAGCATCTCCTCCTACTGCGCCAACAGTCACCCCCTGTCTCCAGACAAGATGGCAGAGAGCCCATGAACACATACTACCCCCTTGGGCACTTCCAGCCACATGTCCAGCTCTGAGAAAATCTACCTTTAGACCCATATCCTGGGGACTTTGGATTCACCTTCTGGTGTCTCTGAGCTGCCCTTGGCACCCTTTGAGGACAGCAGAGAGTTGCAGAAGAGGCAGAGAGATGCGGCAGAGGCTTAGACTCCTTGCTGAGGAAGGGTCCAGAGTTACAGGGGCCAGGCCAACAGGTCAGAGGCTTCTTGCCAATCAGAATCTCAGCTCCAAGTCTGGCTTGGCCACTGAACAGTCAGGTGACCTAGCCAGCTCTCTTCTCTCAGCCCTCAAGTCTTAGTTTCTTCATCAGTCACCTGGAAGTTTCATATGGAGTCGTCCCACCCCCCAACCCAGGGCCTCTGTAAAAATCAAGCAAGATTGTGGGTGTTTCAGGCTTTAAAAACTTTATCACACAGTCAACATAGAAAGCAAGACTCATTCTAGAAGCTGCCTCCTTAATCAGAGCCACATTTCCTCATATGTGAATATCCACGTATATCCACATGAGTTCTTGGCTCTGTGTTTGCATGTATCCATGGAGGTCTGTGTGTACAGGGGGACAACCATGGGGTTCATGCATGCATGTGTGTATCCATCAGTGCCTGTGTGTGCATTTGTGTGTCCAAGGGGCTCTGTGTGCATATCTGTGTGTGTCCCTGTCTGGGCCTGGCTGTGGGTCTGGGTCCAGAGTTTACAAAAGCCAGAGATAGAGGATGGGGATCTGTTGAGGAGTCTGGGGACTAGCTGGCCGGACAGTTGGCCCTGCCCCAGGCCAGCCTAGAGGGAGAGGAGTTAGTGACATGGAGCTGACACAGACCAGGTTATCACTACAAACAGGCCTAGGGTGTCTGGAGAGCTCTGGTTCATACCTCAGGATCAGATCCCTGGAGCCCCTGGCCTTTATGTTTTCCTCTCTCTCTCTTCACTAGCAGGAAAGCTTCTGGAACCAGGATGGTTGCCTCAGAATGAGGGGTCAGAACCAGAGATTGAGGAAGAAGAAAAACTCATGGCCTTCCTGGGGGGCCTGAATTAGGGCCTGGCGTTTGCCTGGACGCTGCAGCCAGGAAAGGAGCATAGAG